GGCCAGAACATCAACGCGATTGAGGGACACTCTATGGAAGCTCATGCCAAAACATTTCACAGGTGAAAATTAAACTGGAGGTCAGGGTGTACCTTATTTAATTTACACACCGCAAGGACCCTTTTTTACACTTACAAATCACATGGTTTTCAAACGTCTGAAACGTAACAAGTCTTGTTCCTGGAGTGATCTGGGCAGGTCAGGATCCTTTTGTCTCGTTGCTCTGCGTAGGCTGGTCCCTCCAACACGAACTTGCAGCTCGCCGTTGTGGTGGAACTTGAGCCTCTGGCAACAACCCTGCAAAAGCAAGCGCTTCACAGACTCAGGCCCATCCACCGTTCTGCAGGAACAAGAGCTGCCTTCTTGCGCAAGCACTGAAAGATACCGAGAAACCAAGACCTAAGTTGAGGAGGCACAAGCGTGCATCAAAACTAGGAAAATGATACTCTTTGGCGCAAACTTCCTGAGTCCCATACTTGCAGGGCTACATCTTGTCACTGGCTGGCCTTGAAACCTGAGAGCTTTTGAACGCCAACAACTCCACCAGAAACGGTACCGGCCGAGCTTGTCGCAAAACACTTAAGAGTCTTATCAGACTTGCAGTGAAATGAGGTAGGTTTCTTTACGCACTTACTACAAGTTCCTTGAACTGTTCGCTCCGTTTCCGTGGCTGAAGAACTTGCTGCCAAGTCGCCAAGGCGGCGCAGAGTTCTCCTGTGGCCTCCAAACAACTTCGTTGCGGTGTCTTTGCTTCGACCCGAAAAAAAAGTCTTGGGCGCAACAGCCCGGCTCATACCTAACAAGTCCTGACTGGCCTGAGTCGTCTATGACTATGGCAAAGAATTGGACACATCTCATCTTCGGTCCTCATTTTCCACCAAGAACTCATGGGCCACGTCGCCATCCTCATCCTCTTCAGCAAAAACCCCAGTATATTGAAAGTGGCGTCAAACAATCATAAGCGTTCCAACACGGCCTGGATCAAGTGAGAATCAAAAGGTGGATTCCCATTACCTCCTTTGCAGCACATTTGCTGGCCAACTGCTTGGCTGGAGCAACTGTTGACTAAGAAAAGAAGATCCAGCCTGGGCAGTATACAAGCAGGTCCTGCGCGCGAAGAGAAAACTGTGTGACACCATGCGACAGCGCTGTCACCGCTTTGGACCCGCCGCCTCTCAGTAAAAGAGGGTAAGGGTCTTACAGTAAATCAATTATAGATGGACAGATAGATAGATGGATGGGTGAACAGATACATAGTTACAAAGCAATTAAAAAGGTTCTATATATATATACACACACACACATACGAACACGACCCACACCCCCACTTGTAAAAGGGCAACTGGCTCACGCCCATGAATGAGACAAGTCAAGAGTTACCCAAGAGCCTCATGTAGCGGTGCTTCTGTGAAAAGCCGAAGCTGCGCAGGAAGCAGGAAGTGCGGCCAATTAAAAGGCGTCCAAGTTTCCGGTATCGGTGGACAGACGAAGGAGCTGCCCGTCGACCCCATCCTTCAATAGCCCCAAGACTCCGATACTCATTGATCAGGTCAGGAGAAAGTCCGGAAGGACGAACCGCATGGGGTGAAAAGAACAGCTCTCAAACCTGAAGATTGAAAAGTCTGGGAACAGCGCTTCGTATTGAGCGAGTGTGAGATCAAAAACTTTCCTGTCTGTTTGCCTATCCTGCCGCCCCAACAGTTTGTTTGCCCACGTTCTGTGAGGGCTGTTGGCCAGCAGCATCAAAACACCCATTGCCCACACAACATGCCGCAAAATGATCAATGACTTGAGGTACCACGCCCACACGAGATGCTCCGGCTCTACTGCCCTCCCAGGCTGCAAGAGCTGCCCAGCTAAGCGGGAACGCGTCGCGTTCAGCTTTGTCAGGAATGTCAATTACCCAAGCAGAGCGTAGGAGGCCATTGTCATTGGTTTTCCGGGCTCCTCTATTGAAGTTGCGAGATGGGTCGTGCGCCACGTTGCGCTTTGTTTCGACATGCCTCAGACGCCGCACGGTCCCACATGCCAGCTGAAGGCCGCTGAAATCTTGCATAATGCACTTCTACCTTTGGAAAGCGCTGTGCTCTCCGAGATTTTCAGCTTATGCGACAAAAGCTCGGGCGCCCTACCAGCTTCGCTTCAGCGAGGACAATGCAACGCGAGCCGCCTTGATGTTGATGCGCTTGTCATTGTTGCTCAACGAACATCGATGTCAGTCCGCTTTGATGGCTGTGCTCTGATTGCTCCCAAACATCCCTCTTGTAGAGATTCCATCGCCGTCTTAGCATAGACAGTATAGAGTCCAGCAGGCCTGCGCGCCTCATCAGGCCCACGGCCCCTGCAGCACCTGCTCAGAGGCCTCTGCGCTCTGCCTGGCAGCGGCTATGAACCTCCTTCCCATGGGCGGTGACATGCGGCGATGGCCTATACTTGATCAGCCGCGCATCTGGTTGGCAAGTTGCCGAATCACCGACCTCCACTGTTCTGCAAAGGGGTGCCCGTCAAACAGCTGCCCAGATCTGCGCTCGCCGAAGTTGACTGACTTCCCGAATGAACCCCAAATCAATGGCCAAAGCACAGAGAGAAGTGTATAACGCCCAGCCCAAATCTGCAGGATCTTGCCCTTGCCCTTCTCTTATGCCTCATCAAGGCCAGTGTTGCCAAAAAGAAACTTGACAGGAACGTCTTGGGGCCACGCAAAGGGAATACCAGCGCCTCTGCCACATGAATACAGCAAGGTTCGGGCAACTAGGGTAATGTTGTCCACATATAGACATGCAAAGATGTACGGAAGTCCGACGCCTGAAGGTTAATTTCCTCTCACGGACGACGCCGTCAGCGCAAGCTGAGTGTTGTTTGCACATGTTCAGGAAGAGAGCCCAAGACCAGCGCATTGGCAGTGCCTGTCATGGCTTCACAGTCACCACCCTCCTCACATACGGATCATAGACCCTATCCCTATATCAGCACCAAACCCTAGTTCTGACCAAAAGAATAGCTTCCAATCAGTGATTGAAGGCGAGGTAGCAAGTTCCAGAGATTGAGGTTTTGTAAAGGGCATCGTTGACACCAGCCTCAGTTCCTCACCAAGTCCAGGTCGCCATAGCATCTAGTAGAACGCAAGCGTGTTGCAGAGGGGGCTTTGATGAAGTCTGTTGGTTCCGCTGCAGCCCAAACCATTCTAATCGCGTCAGGCGTCTTCTTCCTGGTGAAACAGGCGCAAAAAATGACTTGGGCGCTCTCCTCAGCCTGACAAGACCGGCCGGCTTTGCGCAGCTTCACAATGAAATCAAGTCTCTTCTTTTTGTCGAATCTCAAGGCAGGAATTCTCAGGCAGCAGAATTTGTGACTCATAGTGCTCCACGAGCTTTGCTGGTTTGACTTGTAGAAAACAGGTAATCCTATTCGGCGACCCCGGGGTCGCGCAGAACTTTCTGCTTCCCAGGATCATAAGATGATCGGCGTTCCATCATAGTCATAGGAGAGTTTAGCCTGCAGTTCATTGAGGGCGGACTCGGGGTTCATGTCGGCATTGACGCAAGGAGTCAATCACTCTCTGACAAACAAAGTCTGGACAGCAATGTGGAGAACTGAATGAGTTGTGTCCATGCAGAGCAAGCTTGCTCAGCGATTCACCGATCCATTGAGCTCGTTTTAGCTCAAAAACATCGAGAAAAGCCTGCTCTCGCAGCATCACACTGAGTTGAGTGGGAATGGATCCGCATGCCGCCCAGATACCAACCAAAAGCCTCCTGAAAAATGCCCTCCGACGTTGTGAGTCTGATCCATGACTACGGTGGCAGTCAGGTCCCCAACTGGAAGCAAGGCAGTCCGGCTTGGCAACAGAATCCGGCCTCTGAAGCCTTGCAGTCAAGATCAACGCAAAGCTGGTCACAGTCACGGACAAAGTTATGGCCACCGCCCACTGATTGGTGGTTACACATCGCCCACAAGCCTCAAGAGCCTGACTGAATCCAGCGACCAATTCCTGCGCTCGAAAAACCTCAACCCTCAAGCCAGCAATCTCGGTATCAAGAAAATCTCGATGTCTTCACTTAAGCAGTGATCTGGAACAGTGGGTTTCAATCAACAGCCCCCAGCTCAAACCTCCACGGTCCATAAAGGCCTGGGACGACGAAATCAAACCCACAAATCGAGCAATCTAGACATGTTCAAAAGACTAATTATTGTTGTTTTTGCCTTCGCCCTCGCTCGTCCCTTGATTCATTGAGCCAAGACAACCTCCCCTTGAATAAACCAAAGATGTTCATCAACCACTGGCAACACCAAGAATCTCAAGATATCCCAAGTACACTCACGTTGGAGGAGGACCAGGATGTGTCCATCAGAACATGAATTGACAAAATTATCCTCTTTCTTGGAAGGCGCAATAAGTCTCGCATCGCGAGGCCTCGGCTTGCAAAAAGGGTCAAAAACGTAACGCCATACCTGAGGCTGTCTTGTAAAAGTCAAAACAGCATCGGCATGAGTATTTATGATACTTTAGTTTTGTCGCCTGAAAACTTCTACCAAAGAAGTTGAGGCTGAGGCAGCCCCAGCAAAATGTTTATCTCCTCGTGCTGTCGCTTAACCTCAAACATGTAACATGTGGGTCGGGCTTGCCCTTGTGAGCAAAGCTTGTTGCGACCCTATCCTAGTTCCACAACATCATTGTTGGCTTCACAATACTATCATTGGCTTCATAACACCCCAGAACATCAGAATAAATATAACCGATGTCAAACGAATCCGGCTCTGCAAGAATATTCGATCCGTTGCTTCAGCAGTTTCACACTCTTAAACGTCCTACCTTATCCAGGAGCTCTATTAGTTTTGCAAGACTATCATCATACTATCCTCCTGTGTACAATGCTTCCCCTTGATAAGAATCTGGTCACGTTACTGTGTACATACAAGGAAGGTTCCCTCTGTTAAAAGAAAACCTTAATCATGATGAGAGGTTCCTGCTTCGTGTATGGTATACGGTCCACAACTTTCCAAGTTCTTGTTTGAAAAAACATCCGCAACATGACTACATGCCTACATTCTCCATCCACGAACGACAGTCTAGTCTAGCCTATCCGTCTAGCCAAGAAGGAAGAAGCCCCTGTTAAGCAGGAGGGCGGCTATCCAAAGAGCAACAAGCTTTGACGTATGCTGCAATGATAAAGAGTCTGGCCTGGCTCCTGTTCAACAGTTCTAGGGCCAAGACTTTCAAATGCGTCAAAGCTGAAGCCATCATGGCAAACATGTCTCGGACCTCGGCATTTGTGATAGTGATGCTTCCCCGCAGAAGTGGGGACAAGAGACACAAAGATCCCAACTCCATCCCAATCTCCTCGAAGCCCGTGAGCTGGAAGAACACTGCAAAACCTCATGAAAGATTCGTCAACTACGGACCTGCTTTCTTGTCTAAGATTCGTGCACCGCCATCACAAGCACCTGCAACGGAAGCACACTCAATTCTTGCACCACTGCCTGCACAAAAGCCTGGCTGTGAACTAGCAAACGATTGCAAAACTGGCTTGATTCCACTACCAAAAGAGTTAAGCGCATGGTCAGAGTTGTTCAACCTAGCTAAAAAAATAGGTTGCGGAACCTTCTATTGATTCAATGAAACAGCACACACCTCGAAAGCCTGAAAATACACAGGGCCATCCTAAGTAAAGCAAGGAAAATACATTGTCTCTGTTCATGTGAAGTTCATAGTCATAGGGACGCAAAACCAATCAAAAACATCTCAAAACAAAGAAACACATGAATAAGGAAACAGCAACGCTGGTGATGAGACATTATAAGCATTATACACGCGCGTGCAAATGCCGGGCCATCACAACTCCAGTATATATGTCACGCAATTACCAATCAAATATCAAACTAAAGCGTCGAGCAAACCAAGCGCCGGCCACCCATGGGACGTGAAAAATTATGGGCAACGCCGCATTATGAACACCAGGTTCAACCACTTTACTGCACCTTCAGGAAATTGACTCCCACACACACACAATGCACCTCTCAAGTCTCTAGTGGCCCAAGTGGCAATGCCGTAACAATAAATGCAACATTTTGCGTTGCGTCACGCGTTTGAAATGATTTCGACACTTTCCTGCCTTACCCGCATCATCCAGACTTCTCACAAAACACAACTTCGAAGAATGCTCTGCCACAGCAAACCCTAATGGCACAGCGACGCGATCTGCCCACCTCACAACACGCTGCACCCACAGCAGATATTCACCGTGCATTCTACGATGCATGTTATTTCACGCGATTCAGAGATTTCATCCATCCATCCATCCAAGAGTTCCTCTAGAGCTTTGAATGGGAGGGCCACATACAGTAGGGGTCCGATCAACGACTGGCGCAAAAACTCAAGCAACCTCACCCGAACAAGACCTGCCCAGAGTTAAACCAGAACCCTTTGCCACGCATTCGGCAAACTGTGCGCTGGTAACAATGATTTTTTGCACAATAAATCACAATAACGCATTCAAGATTCACAAGGCTACACTTAAACCTTGAAGGTGCAAGTTGAAATTGGTTGTCCTTCACGCTTCCCCTGAGCTAACTTGGCAGGCCTTCCCCCACTTCACTAAGTCCATTTTTACGTACAAGTCGTTATGCTACTTGCGAAAAATTTGCCAACTAAGCCCTGCTCTCTGTGGCCTTTCTGCTTTCGCCTGAATGCAGTTTCGACAAAGCTCGATTTGATGGCCTGCCGTCAGTGCTGGGCTTAATTAAGGCACCAACTGTGGGTATTGGGCTTGCAACCGCTTTAGCCTCAGCTTGCGACAACTTCATCACGCGGACTAGCCCCTGGCTTGAAAATAGGCCCACTCTAAGCAAGGTTCTTCTCTTGAAATTCTTGGCTTTTGAAAGCAGTCAAGAGCTTGTCCTACAGCGCAGACTGCGGTGAACGGTGAACAACTGTGCTCAGCAGAAAGTGCAGTAAGCATTTCTAGTCTTGAAACACGGTCAACTAACATTGACTTGCAAATTCACCTTTGCATCAAAGGAACAACGAACCAAAGTTGCACGCTGCGCACCACCATATCAAACGTGCACTTCTGGTATTGACCTGGTTTGCAGAATGCGCCGGCTGTTCAATGAAAAATCGTTGCGCGCATTTTACAGCGCGCTCGCTTCTCATGGTGCCTGGTCTTCGCATGGGGCAGGGCATGGGCTGTGACACCCAACTTGGAGCACAAGAAGTTGGGGAAAAGAAACGGAAAGTACTTGCTGAAATACCTGCAAGACCGCTTGCGCCGCCGCAATCCCAGATGCCGGTGCCAGGTTGCGGATCTGTTGATCTGAATGCGACGGCCATTGGGTATGGCCATGAGCCAACGGGCGAACGAGGTGGTACTGACCCTCAGACACCGAAGGTGCCTGACTATCCTTGAGCTCAGTCGAGTCGATGTCGCCAATAGCCATGCCACCATCCAAAAGCTCAAAGCCGACCTTCAAGTTCCTGATGCTTTCACTGAACCTCCAGGCCCTTGAAGGTACCCCCTTCATCCAGTAGTGGAAACTGATCAGGCTCCTGTCCAACTGCCTTGAGGTACTTTTTCAACCACTTGTCCCCATATATGTCTTGTTGCATCCGGAGTATAGGAAGGCGATGAGGTCATTTTCCGACGCTGACGCTTCTTCTTGCTCATCGTCCGAAATGACCACGGTCTCCTCAGTGGCCATGAACGAAGTTCCAGTGCTCTCAGCATAGCGCCGATCTTCAAAGTAGCGACCCAACAGCTTGAATGTCATGTTGGAGTCTTCGGTCAACTCTCCCAACGCCCAGGCCACATAATAACTGCAGGCTCGCTCAAAGGCGTGGCCCTTATACTTGCCGAAGTTGAGGATCTTGCCATGACGCAAATCTCTTGATGGTGTTGGTGGAGGCGACGATGCTGGAGCCAATCCTGCCCGTGAGGGTCCAGGGGGAAAAATGCACTGCTGCTGCTGGTGAAACCGCCCTTACCTTCTGAAAGTCAGCCCAATTGTAGCTTGTCATCATCGCTGCGCGGAGGATCCTGAGAAGATCAGATCATCCTCCGAGAAGTTGCGTTCCACCTCATTGTACTTCACGGTGGCCATCACGCTACACATCTTGAAGACCGCGTGGACTGTCGAAGGTGTGAAACTCATATAGCCGGCCTCAGGTACTTCAGCTCGAGGTACTAAGGATGGCATGGGTGTCGAAGCCGGACGCCCAACGCGAACAAGACCACAATCCAGACATGTGCGACGAGGCCGAGGCTGGCGGCAATCTGTTCCTCTCCATGAAATCCTCTTGCGAGGGCAGGATTCCTGCAATCCAAGCGTGAAACCTGCTCATAGTACTTGTTCGTTTGTGAGCGCGGGATTCATGTACTTCGCCTTGTCCAGGATCACGCCGTTCAGGTAGAGGTGGAATGCCTGGCGGAAGCGACCAAGCGCAGGCCCAGCGTATCCTCCGTGAAGAGGGCTCACCAGCTTCAGGCGCCAGGCTTGGAGAGTAGCCCTCGTCGGTGTCCATCTCCATGTCAGCCACGCACCACGCACTGCAAGGCCTCATACAAGGCACGCTCATCAAGTTCATCCTGACTGACAAGGCGTCCTGCTGCTTCTGCACGAATCAATGCCCCCTTGTCCGGAATTATCACGAGGTCCTCCGAAAGGAAGTTGAGGCACCATATATATGGCTCGATCTTTGAATGGCGTCCCAACCCCTTCACGGATGGCCACGCCACAGAATCTGTCAGGCCCTAGATCTGCTTTGTCCGTGCCCGTCACGTGGGCTGTGCACGCCTGCACCCGGGCCTAGCCGCGCTGCTGCTACTATAGCTCCTACGGCCTTGGGAGTGGGCATGCTGCCGTCTGGTGGCTACCACCATGGTGCAAAAGCGTGGCGGAGCAGATTGCCGGTTTTATGGGCTCCTGAAGGCGACGTACCAGGCAACGTTAGGCATTTTGGCTGGCCTTGGAGGGAGGGTACGAGCATCGCGTTGAGGGGAGGAGCTTGCTCTGTGCCCATCACGTGGGCTGTGCGCGCTTGCACCCGGGCCTATAGCCGCGCTGCTGCTATAGCTCCTACGGCCTTGTCTGGGAGTGGACATGCTGCCTTGCATGGCCACCACCATGGTGGAAAAGCGTGGCGGAGCAGATTGCCGGTTGGGAGTGAGCTTCTGGCACGTACCATTTTATGGGCTCCCGAAGGCGATGTACCAGGCAACGCGCCAGGCAACGTGCCAGGCAACGTGCAGGCAACGTTAGGCATTTTCAGCCACCCTGTGCCCTGCAACATCGTGCGAACCATGAGGCGCTGGTCATTGGTGATGTTGGCATTGGTCAGCAGTTGCTCTGCTAAGATCGTTTCCGGAACCTTGACGGAGTCATCCAAGTTCACCGATCCACCATGACCGGCGTCTCGCAACGTAGCTCGCCATGCTCTCTGAGGGCTGTCGAGAACCAGCGGCATAGACCTCTCGTGCCTCCTGGGATGCTCTTGGCTTCGGGTGTCATTGAAAAGCTTGAAGAGCCTTTGAGGGCCAGTCGGCTTAGCTAGCTCCTCTGCCTCTGGATGCGGAACTGGTACTCAGGGGAGCTGGGTATAGCCTCGCCAGAGAACCCCGGGACGCCGAACCCAACCCCGCCTGAAAGGTGTCAGCCACCGACGTGGTGGAGCCACCGTCTAGCGAAATCAACAGTTCAAAACCGCAGCAGGTACGCCAGGATGGCCAATCCTGGTATCTCGGGTTCAGACTAGCTTCGTTGGGCGTAGTCATCTGAACATACGAAGCCCCCCTGCTGGTAAACCGCTCGAAGCTCGATGTTCTGTGGTTATGCAGTCTAGTCTAGATATCCGCTTGCGATAGCGGTTTACACACACACACAAAGCCAAAAAACAACAAATTGCGCCCAAAGGAATGCATTCACAAAATGTTGCAAAAGCGCACAAAGCCTCCATCCTCGTGCATCCACGAGCGCCCAAGGCAGAAAAAAACAGAAACGCAACTGCCAGCGACATAACGGAAAGCAAGAGCCCTATGAGGGCCAGGATGCAGGTACAGGTGAGAAACGCAAACCTCAAAAATGTAACTTCCAAGTGGGCCACGCGCCCAAACCCTCAGATTTTTCCAGGAACATCTGGGTTATGTGAGAAACGCTGACATCACCAATTGTAACTTACATTTTGGCCACATCCCAAAGGCCCCAGAATTTACAAGGAGCATGGGCGTACCCTGAATAGATTGATTGTCCTAGTTGCTTAATTAGTGGGCCACAAAGAGAAAAGTGAATACTTTTTGGAAAGTGTTGGGGGCAAGGCCCCGAAACCACACCCACCCACGCTGCCAGCGGGCTTCTCTCTCACTCTTGTTATCCATCTCTGAGCTACCCCTGTTTTCATGGTTAACGGGGCGGCGGTATGATACACACTTTTACTGGCGAACAAGATTCTGATCGTATCTGGCAATCGCCCAGATCCCTTGCTTGGGCATCTTTACAGCCGGTAGTTCTTTTGGTAGTGGGTGGATGAGCCATTTGCGGCGCAGACTTCAGGTTCAGCTTTGTGTCCAGTCATCATACGCGCTGAGCCTAAACAACTCAAGGTAAAGAAAAAGAGAAAGACAAGTTGATAGAGATAGACAAAATAGGTGAACAAAAAATAGACCCGCGTTTGTTTTGACTTGGACGGGGTACTCCGGGTATTACAAAGGTATTTGTTTTGACTTCACTTTTGGATTCCTGTGCACTCCGCCCATCCATCCATCCATCCATCCACCCATCCATCCATCCATCCATCCATCTGCTTGTCCTCCAGAAACAAACACGTTGGCCCACCCTTACACCATCTATATTCCACCAGTTGCGGCGCGGCCCTCCAGACCCCAATGACTCAAGAAACTTCAGCCAAGCCTGTGGCTGGCTTTCGTGACATGTGTGGCATAGCAGTACATCTTCACTACATCTTCACGCTACCGACGCTACTAGGCCTGCAACTGCAAAGCCTCCGGCACCGCGAACTGCGGCCCTTCAAAAGCACCTGACACGAAATGCAAACAGAATAGAAATTTTTCCAAAACATACACAGTTCGCGCGCAAAGTTGAAACTCCAAATATATACAATTGCGTGACTGACGAGACACACTGAAAAGTCCTTGCGAATGGAGGCTGCTTGCAACATCTTGCAACCAATTGTTTTGTATAATATAATGCAGATGCAAGGACGGGACGGGCTTGGGCGAAGGGCTACACACGCGGTTCTACGTTCAACAGTTGAGGTCAAATGGACAGAGGGCAACAGCAGAAGGCCAAAAAACGAAGACTAGGGGTTGCCTGAGGGCGACGTGAATGGATTTGAAAATTGAAACCATAACAGTTTCACTTGCGCCACCGCTGAGAAGCACGCGTGTACATGAACCCCTCAAAGTCTAGGTGTAAGATGAGTGCACTTCACCACGCAGCAAGCGTGCGCAGATTCTAACAGTGTGACCTACATCCGCCAAGATCTAGACGAGATCTTAACATGCTGCCGCTAGAACACAATCCACGATATACAAACATATCGCTTACACCGGAAAAGCAAAACAAAAACAACAAACATACGCAACCAGGTAGCAATCTGCATGTTTTCCCGCGCGTGACCCAATAAACCACAACTGCGAGAAGGGAAAGCAGGAAGACTGGTACCAGGTGCGCATATTTGCTTGTGACTTCCTTTCCACACACACGAGATATTGTGTACTGAACTGAACGCCTCATGCCACACGGCTGCCTAAGTGAGAAAAGTTCCTTAATAAAGCCTGTAAGGGGTTCTGATCATTCGGAAAGGTCAAGGTTTCGGCCACCGCGCTTAGCTTGGAGGCCAGCGCATCTAGGTGGGAGGTCATCGCAACAGGTTGGAGGCCATCACCAGTAGGTTGGTTTCATGCGAAACAAGACTCGCAGCAGCAAGACTCTCAAGGTTGGAAGCCAGCACTAGTAGGGTGGAGGCCATCGCAACAAGGTTGGAGGCCCTCGCTACAAAGTTAGAGGCCACAACACTCAAAACGCAAAACTGAAACCGCAACGTTGGAGGCCAGAGGCCATTGCAGCAAGGCAAGGTTAGCGGCCCTCGCTACAAGGTTCGACTCCATCAAGAATCAAGACCCAAAACGCGAAACGCAAGTTGCAAAACAGAACCACATGAACAACCATGAAAGCAAACCACGGCGAGAACAGGCAACCGGTTTGGCAGGGGAGGAGGTCTTCGTTGTCCACCGCTCTGCGACCCCAAGGGTTCCACAGAATGATTTGCTTGTAAGGCGCCGGCCGGAAGGAGGAAAGGCAGGGAGGAAAGGAAGGGAGGAAAGGAAGGGAGAAAGGAAGGAAGGAAGGAAGGAAGGAAGGAAGAGGAAGTTCGGAAGGAAGGAAGGAAGAGGAAGTTCGGAAGGAAGGAAGGAAGGAAGAGGAAGTTCGGAAGTTTGGAGGGAAGGAAGGAAGGAAGGAAGGAAGGAAGGAAGGAAGGAAGGAAGAAGGAAGGAGGGAGGGAGGGAGGGAGGGAAGGAGGGAGGGAAGGAAGGAGGGAAGGAGGGAAGGAGGGAAGGAGGGAAGGAGGGAAGGAGGGAAGGAGGGAAGGAGGGAAGGAGGGAAGGAGGGAAGGAGGGAAGGCAGGAAGGCAGGAAGGCAGGAAGGCAGGAAGGCAGGCAGGCAGGCAGGCAGGCAGGCAGGCAGGCAGGAAGGAAGGAAGGAAGGAAGGAAGGAAACAACACAAGCCTCCAGGAACGCAACGTGGATCGTGGGTGTCCTGGGTATTACGTCCAGAAAAGCACCAAAAAGGGGAGGGAAAGGAAGGAGGTAAAAGATCTGCGACCGCTGCGGTGTACTCGTGGCAAGCTGACTCCAGTCCACTCCGGACGCCTCGCCGCTTGCCCGTGGGCTGCCTGCTCAAGATGACTCATCAGGTCTTATAATTGACTTTTGGCCTACGCCTCCTACGCTTGCTGCTACTCTGGTCACGGGCGCAGGGACATGGACAAGCCCCGATCACCCTGGGCTGGCAACACGCCTCACATGGCTGCCTAAGTGCAAAAAGTTCCTCAATAGAACACGTAGGGGTCCTGATCATTAAGGCCGCGGTCTAGTGTGGGCCATCGCTCTTAGCTTGGAGGCCAGCGCATCTAGGTGGGAGGTCATAGCAACAGGTTGGAGGCCATCACCAGTAGGTTGGTTTCCCGCGAAACAAGACTCGCGGTTGGAAGCCAGCGCTATAGGAAGGTGGAGGCCATCACAACAAGGTTGGGGGCCCTCGCTACAAAGTTAGAGGCTACAAGACTCAAAACGCAAAACAAACCACAATGTTGGAAGCCATCGCTGGTAGGGTTGAGGCCATCGCAGCAAGGTCGGAGGCCCTCGCTACAAGGTTCGAGGCCAATAAGACTCAAAACACGAAACGCAAGTTACGTAGCAGAACCACGTGAACCACCATGAAAGTAAACCACGGTGAGAACTAGTAACCAGTTTGGCGGGGCCCAAAACAACATGCCTACTTCTCGGCGCGCAACAAGTGTGGGCCACGAAAATCACACTTCGACGCGCGCGACCCCCGCGGGGGCCGCCCAGGCCAATCAAACGAATCTTTGAAAAGGGTTGGGTTGCAGCAAGCTCCAGTTCCACTCGAGACCTGCGCGGTTGGACAACAAGAATAGGGCGGAAAAGGAACAAAAGGGGCTGGGACAGGTCCTTCCAGCGCAAAGCAGAGCCAAGCGATCAAAACGCATCTGGTATTAAGTAGCCTGTTCTGATCTGTGAGCAAGATATTGTCACCTGTTTGGACTACTTGCAGGTAGTGAAGCGGCGCGTTTCACCCCATGGTGGAGCGGCGCATTTCTACTGTAGTTTCGTGTACAGAGTGAAATGGTACGCTGCTACGCGGGGCGCGCGGCAAGCCTGCCCCTTGGCTTTGCCGGGTGTTAGACATAAGAACGCGAAAGCTCACGCAGCTTCACCATACAAGACCATGTTGAGAAAATATCTCAGAGCCGTTTGCAACTTAGTTTTCCACTGCACGCCCTTTTCCTGACGTTCTCCATTTTTCATGTCTTAGTCATTCAATGGCTCAATTCATTGAATGGTTGCCGAGACCCACCAAACCAGCTGCCAACTAAAATTGCAAGGCGCGTCGCGCTTGCAGAATATATAGTCCCACATCCTATTCGGCAACATCATTCAAGGCTCCCAGTGATGTGGCTGCCAGCGTGGTGCGTGAGTCTCTGCAGGCAAAACAGGAAATCCAACCAAAAAAACCGGCGACGTGAGACGCACTGGCAACGGTGATGTAGCTGCGTAAAAGCAGACGTGACTGCAAAGCTGCAACATTGAATTGTCAGTCTGCAGTCTGAATTAAAAATGCAAGCGGTTGATGAAGCTAAGGCAAAGAGGACCTCGCCAGAGTTGCAACTCTTGACCATTCAAATTCAAACTCTCAAGCTGGCATGTGACTCGATCACACGCCGCCAGACATCGGTGGTTTGCGCAAGGTGTAGTGGCGCGAGCCAGTCAGTTCAAATACCCGGTTGTACTGAAATCCAGGGTCAGTACAAGATAATTTCCCGGGACTGACCCCATTTTTAGCCAAAACAGGTGGATAACGCCCCTGATCAATGCAGATAGATAATTTTAAGAAGGCCTGAGGTTAGCAAGCTAGACGAATAGGATCGAGGATACTGCTCCCCCCAAAAGTATACTAATCGACGAACGAGGCAAAAAGAAAAGATCCCAGGCTCAGGTTTTTTTTCCAACGCTCTGCGTGCTCTGTGGTGGTCTGCAAAACTAAAGGATTGTTGCGGGCGTCTGCAAACCTTAGAAGGTTGGTTGTGGTTGTGGTTGAGGTTGGTTTGGAATCAATGGGTCCAACCACTTGCAAAAGAATGTCGCTTGCATGGCCCGCAGCGCTGGTCGAACTGTACATTTTGGCCGGTATTTTGTGGACTTGACAGCCGCTCTGGACTTAGGAATGCCAGCAAAAGTTTATCAGGGCTACGATGCCCAGAGCGACTTCTTTGTTGAACGGATCTTCTGCATTGAAATTGTTTTGTCCAGATGTCAGCGCACTTTTTTACATATTCGCTGCCGTTGAGCAAATTCTTCTTTTGGAAAGCTCTCCAGACCTAGCAGAAGCAGCAGAAGAAGATTAATTTCAGCGTATCCCACAACTTGTCATTTGTATATCTCCCCAACCTCAGTACCAAGGAAAATGTCCAGGTTGTTTTTAGGACGCACATGTTTCACACGTGTCCTTTTCACAGGCTGCGAATCTCATGGAAGACCTGGTGCAGGATCCCGATGAGGAAGACCATAACATGAACCTGGATGAGTGTGAGGCCTCGCCACTTTTTCAGACTCCTCATGTCGAAACACAGGGTCCCACTGAGAATGAGCCAGAGCTGAAAGGCGCTGACCAAGAGTGCTTCCAGCTGTTGGAGCAGTTGAAAGCCCGCGGTGACTGATGCTTTGACGTTCCGTTGGCAAGTTTCGCTGACAATTTTTTGATTCTCTGTGATCATGACTTCCATGGAGCTCGGAAAATCTAACGAACGGAAATCTACCGAATGTCCAACGAGCGATGTTCTATCTTTTCCTTTTCTACTCCCACTACCGAGTGGATAAAATTGGAGCGCTAATTCTGGATGATATTTTTCATGCACTGACCCCATTTTATCCACCCCCAAAAATTATCCAACCCTTACTTGGGTGGATTTTTTTGGAGGGTAGACCCCCTGGATAGGTTGCTGGCAGGCTGGCGCACAGATAAAGTCCAGGCATTGACCCAATTAATTTTATCCACTCAGTACGGCCCCCTATAGTTCAAGCTGTTTACGGAACACATGGCTCGGAACTCACACTCGCTTTTAGGACCTTGCTTTTTGAGAGCTGCGTCAACACCGGAGCATGGCTAGCCATCGCCGCACTTCCGGAACTCGAGAAAAGACCGGAAACGACCGGTGAACCAAGTAATCCCAGTGGCTCAAGATCTCTTGAACCTTGAACGCAGGGCCGCCCAGGAGCCACCCAAGCGCTGCACGCTAAGATCGGACCGTCCACATAACAGGCCATTCGACATTGCCAACCGTGATGGGAGGCATGGGGCTATAGTCACGTGGCCGCCGAAGGAGCCTGCGCCGCGCCAACCCAAACGCGCACACGCAGACGCATCTGCCGCGCAAGTCTTTGGCTATCAAGCACGCACGTTTCCTCTGGGTGTGCGTGCATGGTGTAGAGAGACTCCTTGAAATCAGCGCAGCACAGTTCGCTTAAAAGCGCCGAGGCTGCCAAGGCTTGAACGCTTCGCGCAACATCTCGGGCAGAACAATGAAGTCTCTCCGGGCATTGATAAAACCATTCACCTTGCCCTCCTTGGTCAGACTGCGACACCAGCGGCTAAGGCTGCCACCGTCTTGGCGCACGAAGCCATCATTGGATCCAGCGAATCGCTCAGACGAACGTCCTGTTCTTTGGTTCTTCCTGCCTCCCTCTTTTCGGGCCACTTCTGCGACACTTGCCCTTGTTGATGTGGGAGCCAAGGCAATGCTGGCACCTGTGCACCAGTCCGTGTTTGCACGAGCTTGCGCAGTCTCTCAACTTCCCCTTTTCCCCTTTGCAAACTTGCAGCAGATCTCGTGCCCGTCGTAGTCGGTGATGTCGTGTATGCCCCACTTAGGGCAATCGCTCTTGTCCGTCTTGGAAGGGTCCTTGTCCTTGCCCTCCTTCTTCCACTTCTTCGCTCGCTGTCCTCTCTCTTTCTCTCTTTGTCTCTCTCTCTCTTTCTCTCTCTCTCTCTCTCTCTCTCCCTCCCTCCTCTGCGCGCACGTTCTGCGCCCTTGATCGACATGAGCTTTCCTCCCCTCGCTAAGAAGGCGTGGGCCGTTCTCTTCACCAGAAAACGTGATCTCTTGCAGCGTAGGCGAAGTCTGCCACCGAAGGTTTGCTGGATAGCTTGATGCCCAGCTCAAGCCGCAAGCCTAAATAGATGTACGCATATACCGTACCTATCGACACATACCGCAACTGTATAGTGTGTTCTGGCGACATATGCGTCAGTTGGTTGCAGTTGCATTGCTTATTGCACAAAATGCATGCGAATTTGTGTAATTTGGGCACCTTGAGAAATGTACAACATCAAGGGGGTCGCAAAATATATCCAACGATGCTTGCAAGTTGCAAGTAATTAAGACATAGCTAAACAATTTGTAAGAGGGTGCACAAATAGAGTGATTATATAGAGACTTCTTTTACCTCTCTCTGAGAGCCACTGGTTTGGGCGGTTGTCATCGCGAAGCGACCCGAATAAAGGTGGGTGCAGGGAGAGCTTGCCAATCAACGGTCATATGCAGTGTCACACGTTTGAAATAGTCACGGCTGCTATCAGGGTTGACGTCACTCGGCCTTCAGCGGCTGCTGGAATGTCCTTAACCGTAGAAATTCGAGCACAACCTTGCACTTCAAGCTCTACCACCGCACCTTCTCCAACTTCTCCTTATTTAAGATCTTAGGCTTAATAAAGCCACCACTCTCGAAGAAGTTTCGCAGGTCTGAGTCCTCAAGGACATCTTGCAACGTCTTTGACAAGATCTGACCTAACTTGGAGTCCGCCAAAGAGCCTTCAGCTCTGTCTGAAGCTTTGATCTTGGCCGCTTACAGACCAATCCGCTGCTTCTTTTGGAATGACCAAGTTAGCACCTTGGCCACGCTCGCCGTGCTGCGTGCAGTTTAGAATCCTTCTGAGCTTCTTACAACCTGGAAATTCCTCCCGCAACGCCTAGCACAATTGTGGCTACTGCCAGTGCAGGTGGTACACCTTTGATATATATATATATATAAGCTTTTCTTTCAGAAGATTTGATTGTGCTCAAAATATTGTCACCACCGCAAAGCCCTTGCTTCTCTCCTCTAGTCGGCCCTCAATGCTTGAAACCTTCAGTGTGTGCAAGGAATTGATGGCACTTCAGTGACTGTAAGCAACACCAGAGCTACGAATCATACAAGTTGCACGCACAGAAACATGCTACAGCAGTGAGGCCGGCCTCCTCATCTCGTGGTTCCAGCAAGACCTGATGGCCAAATCACTTTGGATCTCGACTCTCGTTCCTTAGAAACCAAAAAAGCAAATTGACCTGGTAGGAAAGGAACAAGGACGCTACTAGGAACAAAGGGCATCGCTACTAGGAGCAAGGACGCTACTAGGGGCTCCTGGCCGTACTACTAGTAACAAGGACGTTACTAGTAACAAAGTACCATTCCAAAAAAGCAAATTGACCTGGAATCCAGAAAAACTCTGCTCTTCTCATCATGTTCCCACCTTGTCTTTCAGGCGTGCACTCACCCATCCCTCCTCAAACTTTCATGTTCTTATATTCCGTGCCAACGGTCAGCACGAAGCAAAGCAGCCCTGCAAGGTTTGGGATTTGTTGAAGGGGTCCTCAGGCCCATTGCCTCTAATGAGCTTGTACTTCACTCTCTCCCCGAATCTTGCAACCTCCTGCACCCGTCAAAGCTTGCATTCTGTGAGTACACACATCATAGGCACATCATCAGACTTTCAATCACACTTGTCTTCTTTGATTCTTTTTGGAGATGCTTGACCCAATTATCTATATAACACCACGTCCACTTGGTTTCACCCACTTCCACAGTTTGTATTGAACACATTCTCTGCTAAACTCCTCGACCAACGAGAACTTTTCAAGTCTTGTGGGGAGCTCGGCAGAACTTAAATGGCGACCAGCCTGAAAACGTATATATCGCTTTGTGCATCAAAGCCGTATTGCTCTGACTCAGAGACCTATTCTGAGCTCTTGGCCCAGTTTCGAATGTCTGAGGGCTGGGCGCGCACAACGATCCCTCCTCTGTCCCCGCCCCCAACCACTTCCCAGCGTTGACCTAAGGTCAAAGCCCTCCCAATCGGATGTTCATGATCAAAAGGCCGACCAAAAATAAGCGCTCGGCCACCCATTGATCATCTGCCAACGACCCATTGTAGTACAAGCTACACCACCAGTTAATTTGCAAACAGAAACTGTAAAGAATTGCCCAACACAAGGCATTTCAGTCTCAAGTATTGCTTTTGATTCTGAGGCAGTGGTCTGGCTTGAGCCCACAGACTTACGTTCAACCCAACAAATGGAGCAAAATGTTGAGCAACAAAGGTTGACGCAGCACTGACCTTTTCCTGCTGTTTGGATTCCATTGCGCTGCTCACATGGGCCATGAGCTCCTACAAGTATAGGCTCTGCACTGTCCAAGTAGAGACTCAATCCAAGAGCTACCATGACGACAATGTACTGCTGTTTACAAACAGCTGGCTATATAATGCAGCGCCCTTTTCCCGCTATGAGTGTGCACTTGGTTGAACCGCACGTTTTAAGGGTGATGGGGGGGAACACTGCCAAAATATTAGCTATATAGGTGTTTATTTGCGGGGTATGGACGAACCCAATTGAATGGCTCGTACATCTTCAACCGTCCAGTATTGGGCTCGCTTTTCTTTTCAAGCTTTACTATGTCTCCCCGACATGGCACAAAAGCGGATCCGTAACTTGAAAACAATTGAATCTGAAGTTTTGTGGTGGGAGAAGGGTGGGGTGTTTTTGTGTTCGACTGTTGTTTGTGGTTATCGAACCACGACACTCTCATAGTGACACAGTGATTGACGCGATCAAGGGACGCGATCATAGGGACGAAAAAACACGGAGGTCAATGTCACACGTGTTCAATGACACATTGAGGTTCATTGTTCGAACAACTTTGATTTCTGACAGGCTCCGGGGTGACTGGGATCGGACTGCGGAGTAGTTGAAAAAGAGCATCAAGTAGCGTGTAAATGGATTTGAAGTGCAAATATATGCAAGTGATGCAAATGAGCAAAAAGATGCAAAACTCAACAGTTGAGTCTCTTTCTATGAGTCTCAAAAAACATAAGGCATCATTTTCCTAGTACCCGGTGCAGGCAAAAACACGCCTCTCAACTTCAAGCTTTCGTTGGCATATCACACAAAAGTTGCGGTTTTGTCACATGGTGCAAAAACGCCTTCAAAAAATCACGACGCCTTCAAGAGCGGCAAGTCAGCCGGCTCTCTTGTTCAACAGTGCGTCGTGTGGATGATGCGTCGCCGTCGCGAAAAATTTCCTAGTAATTTCCTAGTAGCTTCTTGTTCCTAGTAGTACGGCCAGGACCCCCTAGTAGCGTCCTTGCTCCTAGTAGCGATGCCCTTTGCTCCTAGTAGCGTCCACTGGCATGCTCTCTTGAACTTGTGGATGGTGTTGTTTCGTCTCGAGTCTTCGCAGTACCCCTGCAATTGCAATTTACAGCACGCTATACTATATTATTCACGGCATTTAATTAAGCATTGTATTTCTGGCATTATAGATGCGCACCATTCAGGTGTCATGCAAGTTGAAACACCTTTGATGCATACGGTTGACATTCCACGGTAGTTGCAAAACATTTGGTCCACAATTACCTTCCACTTCATTTTTTCCTTTTCTTTGTGCGGCCCTTTGCATGCTGTTCATGTTCCCAGACGCTTGGAACCCTTTGCAGCATACTCTACCTTCCAGGCAGAGAAAGTTCCGAATATAGAAGCTGATAAGTATGACTCACTTTACGCAAAGCCTGTACAAACATGGGTCAATAGAGTGGGGCATGAAGAAAGCTCGGATGTTTCAACATTGTTGTATGTCCATTGCTTTGCCATTATATATATATATATATATATGCCTGAGAAGGGGGGACGAAAGCCAGCAGCCGCCAGACGAGTGTCTCTTTTTCTGGCGGGCATCGCGGCGCAAGACACATGGTCGGCAGCTTGCGAGTCAGCGGTGCCGCGGATGCGGGGGGGGGTGTGTAACTGTGATGGAGGGAGCAGAGAAGCAAGCCGGGCGGCTTTGGGATAAGTTTGGTATGAAAGACGTAGTGGAAGAGAAATGCGATACGTTGTATGTTGGGGTCATCATCACAAGGCAATGGCATGTGTTTGTCACACGCTTGAAGGTAAGCATCTTATGGAAGTTGGAAGGCGAAATCAGCGATAGCGAAGGGGAAATACGGTCTGAGTTCGAGTGGTGGGATACCACGCGCACGCCATAGTCAGCGTCGCCGCGCGCGCGCGCGAGTACGGCACGCGTTTGAAAAGAAGCAGTTATGTGTTTTGTTACATTTGGAGTGTTTGGAAGTTTGCAATGCATACTGCGGCGCGTCGAAAAGCGGCAATCGCTGATCTGGAAGAGTGAACGGGCACGTCTCAGCCGGGACACGGACGTTTGATCCCCCGGCGCAGAAGGGGAGGTCCAGCGGGAGTAGCTTGGGCTAGCAAAGGAGTGAGGATTTGTGCGCCTATCGATGCACATGCCTGGACTTGAGTGAGTCATGTTCTGGCTCGATCCAAAACACAATCTTTTCCTTTAAAGGGGCCTTTATTAAACGATCCAAACACCTTCCTTTATTCATTCTTCTCTTTCTTATCAACTCTGCGCCTTTCTCACTCAGAGGCCTTGACTTTGGCACCTGCGCGCGTAGATCTTTGGGCCGTGGACCCAAGCTGACTGGATTCGGCCAGGGCTGCCAGCAAAAAAGGCGACGTCATGAGTCAGTGAATGTATATCTATCTATCTATCTATCTGCACCGGCAAGCCGGAAAAACGTTCGGTGCGTGTGGACGCCGCGAGAAGCATCCACTCGACCGAGGACATGGTACAAGTATAGTTTTTGCTAGGGGGCAGGAACCCTATGCGGATATGTAGTAAACCTCGCAGGCATCCCCACCGAAAACCAATCCAAATTCATGGACTTGAACTCATGTCACTTTCGGTTCTCTATGGATTTCACGAGTTACGGGTTGTCCTGGATCACTCGCATCACCAGACCTCATCTTCACTGCTTTTCTGATCCTCGCTTTGGAGCGCACCCCCCCACCAAGCTCTGGGTTCACCCTATCAAAAGGCCCTCCTCAGCGACCCCCCCCCACACCCCCTTAACTCACTTCGTTCGCCCTAAAAGCTCAAGCCTAGCCTATATATATATCGTGTTAGGTGAAGATGAAGGTTTGAATTCCCATATATTTTGGCGCGCAAGAAACATGGAGAACTCAGGCACTGTCGGGCGATTATCACTCAAACTGGGTCGCTGCCGTTTTTTTGACAGTTGACCTTCTGGGTTGGGTTGGGTTTCAAGCTGGGTTCAAGACTTTATAGAAAGTCTGTCGAGAAACATGCCCAGTTCTCTAGATTAAAACCACATCCGTCTTGCGAAATTACGTTTTTGACAGACCAAAATGACCAAAAGCCTTGTAGGCACTCTAATTCCAAGTCAACACCCAGGTTGTTCGATATGTTTGCAATGAGTATCCTGAATACCTTTCTTCCCCTTTCTGACTTTGTCTTTGCTTGCTTTGGCTTTGACCACAATTCAATTGGCTGTGAAGTTTGGGCGTGAAACTGTGAAAGAGCCAAGCAAAAGTGAAAGGCAAAGTGCCCAACAGGCATGCAAACAATTTAAGAATACATCCACCGTCCTAGTACCATCCCATCCCATCCTCCTCCCCAAAGCCAAGTCATCTGTAGACGATATATATAAATGTTTCCTGCTCTGCTGAAGGCCATTCCCGCACCTCCTTTACTGTACAGCTTTACAACCATGCGAGAATAAAACCGAAAATGCTCTCAACAACACTGCAGCTCCTGTACGGCAGCATAGTTCCCAGATAGCAGGCGAAAACGCGTGGGCCCAAAGAAATACGTAAGTGGCTGGAGCGGCGCCAGCCACCAGCATCCAAGCTCCCAAGCGCACACAGCGGCACCCTGCGCACGAGCGCCCAACCTCCCAAGTGCACAGAGCGGCACCAACCCCGCAGCGGCACCAGCACCCAAGCCCCAAGACAGAAGTTCCCATGCAGCGGCGCCAGCGCCCAAGCTCCCAAGCTCTTCTGCAGCGGCACCAGCGCCCAAGCGCACAAAGCAGCAGCAACCTGCAGCGGCACCAGCACGCGAGCTCCCAAGCGCACCCTGTAGCGGCGCCAGCGCCCAAGCACACAGAGCAGCGGCGCCCTGCCCAGCGGCGTGCTGCGCGCAAGCTCCCAAGCGCACACACACACACACACCGACGCCCTGCTGCGACACGAGCACCGAGCACCCAAGCCCGACACAGGAGACTAAACTAAAAATATACCCAAATATACCCAAAACTCCCTAAAAGGAAACACTGCAAAGATCTCCTCAACAGGCCATGTGCCGAGAGGCACGCGCAGTTCTTTCGGGGCCTCAGCCATGATGTTGGACAAAGCACGTTGCTCATTTTTCTTGCGAAAACATGTTTGTTATTGCTATTCATGTCTACATGTTTTTCCCGGGAGCGCTGCGAAGGGCTCTTGTGTAGATTTGTTTGCGTAATATATGAAGGCTAAATGGAGGGTGCGTGGAGAAAGGGGGTCAGCAAAAATCTCTTATACGAAGTTAGTGCATCAAAAATACCTTCCGCGAAGTTCTGCGAAGGTTTCCGGGATTTCGTTGCAGTCAGTTTTCCTACTGGCCCACCATTCCACGAACTGTCCACGAATAGCCTTGGGTTCTACGAATGTCCCGCGCCTTCCACGATGTTAGTAGAATAGGTTTTTGCAAAACCCTTTCTGTGCACTACCCTTCCGTTTGCCTCTGAATATATCTGCGTCAATATCTTTCTGGCTTGTTCATAGCTGCGTTGGTATGTATGCTATAAGTACGCTATAAGCTACATCTGCAGCTTGCATGCGTGGTTGTCTATTATGACAGCGTTGGTATGTATGCTATAAGTACATCTGCAGCTTGCATGGTCTTCTAGACCTGCTGCTAGGGATGTGTCTGCTAGGGTGTACTTCGTCGTCGAAAACGGAGGTGGACGTTGCTAAACTGTGTGCTGTCGCCGTTGCCCGAGCGCGCAACTGTCGCCAAAAACCGTCGAAAGCACGCTGGTGTATTCGGCGTCTCGCTGAGAGCGGGATGACTGGCGGCGCCCGCGACGCCGAACATTAACTACATTGTCGCACACTGCGTGGCCAAATTCCGTCTGTGATGTCGCCGTGCCACGTGGATTTTGCACGGCCACGGTGGAAAGGCTTTCTGCGTGAGTCCGCGCCATTGAATTGGTGGAGGGAAAACATGCTGGCGTAAATTCGGCGGGAGGCGGCGCCCACGATGCTGAATGTTACATTGTTGTATATCCAGTCCGCTGCACGCTGCGTGGTGAAATTCCGTCTGCGATGTCGCTGCGCCACGTGGTTTTGCGCGGCTAGCTAGGGTGGAAGGCGCTTTTAAGCGCGAGTCCGTGCCATTCAATCATGGGGAAGGACAACACGGTGGCGAAAATCGCTGGGGAGCGGGATAACGGGCGTTTTTAGAAACTCATGAGCCAAAGTAAGTCGCACACGCTGACCATGAAAGTTACACTCACATATTTCAAGCCCCCCTGGCTCGAGTCGGCTCGAGCGAAGCCTTTGGCTGATCCGGCACGCTGGGGCGCATGCATGGCTACGCAAATCCGCAGCAAGACGGCTCAGAGCAAACTTCAATACTTGGCGCAGCGTGCGACTTTGGGAACGGCAGTGCTTTGGTCGTGATGTCACCTCTTTGCTTCGTGGACACATTCACATTCACATCGTTGGAGAAGTTCATAGAAGTTCACAAGCGCACATGTAAAAGCGACATTGACTATACTTTATGGGTCATAGTAAGACGGATGTCTTGAGCGCTGGGAAAAGGCGATGGTCACAATCGCAGCTGACTTGTCTTCATAAACGACATGAACAGTGATGAACAGACTAGAGGCGCGCAGCAAAGTCTGCTATAGACTTCCCATTCGCACATCTTCCCAAAAGGGGCGCAGCAAGCGAAACGAACGCTGCTTCAGTCACGCTGAGTAAAGCCACACGCTGGCGATCACTTCCTCAAGCCGAGGGACTTTTCTCTTTGTCTGGAGCAACCACAAATCTTGAGGTTGTTTTCATTGTGGGCACATCACCCCCGAAGTCGGCGTCGCAACACAGAAAGCCTTAGACCGATCAAGTCATCTCCAACACCGTTTCGAGCGTATACTCCTGCGAGCGCCTAAACAGATGACTCGGGCTAGCCGGTGACCATCATTCTTAATCCAACGAATGTGATGCGCCTAGTAGTGCATTTTTGCATGCGCACGATGTCTGGTCTACTGACGCGAGCTAGCCGCTAGCCACATCCGACTTCCGCAAGTGTATCTCTTAGGGTCTTGGAATGGTTCCGCCAACGCGCGGGCGACTCTGGGTAACCATACAGCGGCTGTTACAGAATCTCGCGCAACATCTTACGGAATATGAGGACGAACGCGCGATTCCTAGTTGCCAAGATTGGCTGGAGGCAAATGCGCGAACGCAGCCAAATGTGACCATGGCAAAAGCATTGACAGTGTTCGACGCTGGGTTCGAATTTGGAGCGGGGCTGAACCCAGCTCCTGAAAGACGGCGCTCAGTCAAGCCCCCCCCCCGCGAAACATTACTGTAATTGAGCTTTCAACTTCCATTCTGACTCACACCCCTTGAAATGAAGGGTTTCGTTTGAAAATCCTCGACCCCGGGTCTGCCACTGCGATCAAGCAGGCGGTGGACGAAAGCTAGCGCTTGCCGCAAAGCCCATGGCTACGTCAGAAGGTTAGCACGTATATACCCCTCAGTCTTCGCGCTGTGTGGCTGCGGCATTTGATGGAACACAAATATAATCTGTGGAAACCGGCGATGGTATGATTCCACTCAATCATCTTTGGTAAAACTGACCGTAGAGCGCACATTGACATGATCGCGCTGACACCTCACCTGGCCTAAAAGGACTCAGCCAGCAACAATGGCGCCTGATTTGGCGGGCCTCGGCTCCTGATCACCATCCGTCGGCTCTGGGCACATCAGTCCATCAACCCTATATGCCCTATATGATTGAACTTTTCTCTGCTTCGCTGCGATGGACGAACCTTAAGGGACCTGCGCGCATGGCAAAGGTACCAGAGGCCGGAGGCCTTCGCTGGGTGTGGATCAATGAACCAATCCTTGATCCAGCCGCTGCGTCACACTTAGCCGAACTTCGATGGAGAACCCTGGCGGAGGAGTTGGATGCCACAAGCGAGCACGGAACTCAAGGGCGAATTTCTCTGATCAATGCTGCTCAATGTTGGCCGCGAGACACCACAGTGCGCACAAAAAACCAACGTCCGGAAGGGCCCTCCGGCCGCCGAAGCCACGCGTGGCACACAGGCCTCGCGCCGCCGCCCAGCTGCAGCACCCCCACGGACGCTGCGCGTTAGCCTACTGTCAAAACTGAAAACCGGGAGCGCGAACGCTCGTCCACGCAGATGAAGTGGGTCTTTGACAGAAGCACTATCAACCAAGCCGATGCGGGTAGACAGCAACGCATCTTTTCATGACAGGAAGTCGCACACGCTGACCATGAAAGAAAGGAAGTATAATATGAAGTAGTGGGTAGGTTACACTCCACACATTTCAATTTACTCAGCTGGTCTGTGGAGCAAACTTACCCAGCGACACCTCCCGCAGGTTATCTAGAACGCAGCACACTCTCAAGCACTTTGCGCGCCATGCACACAGCACTGCCCTGGAAAAAGAAATGCTTTGTCTTGCCCTAAATGTTTCAAAGGCTAAATAGATAGCACTAATGTATATATGACCAACCAAGTAGATCAACCCGGTTGGTCAATCAAAAAGCCTCGTAAAGAAAGAGAAAGTTACTGAAACAGCGGGGGACACGTCTGCTAGGTAATTTATCCTAGAACATGAACTGTTTGCCACGCTAATGCTCCTACCTCCTTTGCTAAGACGAAGACTTCCATCAAGGGCAGTACCAACTCGTGCGCCAGCCCGACAAACCAAGCAACCTGTGGCTTGGAAGCTGCTAACATCGCTGCGGGAAACCAAGACAGACGCAAAACTCAGTGAGTCAGCCGGGCTCTATCGGGAAAAGACACTTGACGTGATCTTCAATGCATTGAAGACATGCCTTGGTGGCAGCATCAGCTTGCGCTAGCTCGCGCAAAGCCTTCAATGTTCAAATCTGCCACAAAAAGAAATTGCAGAGAGAGGGAGAGAGCAGTCCAAACTCTCACACCACAAATTCTTTCTGTTAGCTCTCGACCTAGCAACGTCATCCAAAATTCGTAAAAAAAAATCCAGCCGAACACTAGCTCGCAAACGTTGGCATACGTCCGCGTTTCTCTACCTGCAGGAGCAAAGCGGAGGCCTGGCTGAAAATGTCAGTACGCAACCATCAGCGTAAACACGAAAAGCACTCGCAGCCCACCACGCCAAGATGGCAATGACCCAGGCCTGCTCTTTTGCAAGTATCAGAACAAACCCTCAGCATTCATGGGAAGTATGTTAAAATATCTTTGGGTACCTTGCCTGCAAAAGCGATATCGACCTGCGGCAGTTCTCCGATTACTTCGTCCAAGCTACCTTGTTAGACCTTGTCTTCTGTTGTTTCTTTCTTTAAGCTTTTGGACCTTTCTTTCTTTGTTTCCTGTTTTCAAGCCCTTGTCTTCCTTTGGTTCTTCCTTTCTTTAGACCTTTGGGCCTTTCTTTCTTTGTTTCCTTTTTTAGGCCCTTGTCTTCCTTGGTAAATTTCTTTCTTTTAACCTTTGGACCTTCCTTTCGTTGTTGTTTTTGCTTAAGGCCCTTGGCTTCCTTTACTTCCTTTCTCGAGACCTTTGGTCCATTCTTGCTTTGTTTCCTTTCTTAAATCCTTGTCTTCCTTTGTGGTTCTTTCTTGAGGCCTTTGGACATTATTCCAATTGAAGACACTCTTTTTTGGACTTGTCTTTCTTTGTTGCCTTTTTTGAAACCCTGCTCTTCCCTTGTTTCTTGTTCAGTTCTTTATTCTTGACCTTTTTCCCTTGTTTCCTTCTCAAGACCCTTGTCTGCCTTTTTGTTTTCCTTCTTGGGGCCTTTGAATTTTCTTTGTTTCTCACTCTTTCACTCTCTCACTCACTCACTCACTCACTCACTCTCTCTCTCTCCCTCTCCCTCTCCCTCTCCCTCTACCCTCCATTTGGTTCCCTTTTCATCCTTCCCCTTCACACACATGAGTTCTCCTCTTTTCGTTCATGTCCTCCTGTCTTCATGTCTTGGCATTTCATTCCTTCTTTCTTTTGCGCACACATCGGTCCCGGCACATCTACGCGTACTTTTAACCCAGGTTTCAGGTCGCCCAGGTTTGATAATGAGGTGGGGTTCATTGTTTGTCCCTGTGCACTTGGTTCCTTTTCATCGCAGCCACGTACACTTTTGCCCTGTCTTGTCCTCCTTTCATGTCTTCATCCTTTTGTCCGTGCTGCGCGCGCACACGTGCACTTTTTCACAGGGATCCTGTTGGAGTGTTTTTCATAGCAGTGGAACACTCGGCGGGGAACGTCGAACGAGCTGCTGAACGTCGAACACTGCGAACGAACGTCGAACAAACCCGGAGCTTAGTGAAAGTGGCCCTCCTCACGATTGCGTCGGCATCAACTTTCCTTGGATTGCCTCCCCTCCGGGGGTGCGTGTGTGTGTACCCTTGGAATCACAGGGATCCTTTCGGATTGTTTCGCTTTGACTTCAATTTTGAAGGAGCAGGGGGCGGAGCCAAGTGGGGGGTCTCTGGCCAACGAAGACACCCCCCACCTGGGTGTAAACGTACCTGCACTTGTGACAACACCCCACTCTTCCACCGCTGCGGTTTGCTTCCATGGTGTTTTGCATGATATTCCCCTAAACCTGCCTCAATTTTAAGATTTCTTGTGTACGTCAGACCTGCACGCTACTTTGTCGCCTCCGTTTGACGACCTCCAGGCTTCTTTGGTTTTCACTTGATCTGGTCAGGATTTGGGTACCCAAGGTGGCGTGTGGCAAACCGCATCCAATCAGTACGCATTTCCATAAGTGTGTGTGTGTGTGTGTGTCCACCCCTGGACAAAGGGTTTTCCTCCGCCACCTCCTTCACCGATTTTCCACGAACTTTCACATGCAGGGGGATCACCCACGGACTTGACTGGTGATCCAACGAAGAGGGTCAAGATCCGTGCTGATATCTGGCCTGATCAGCCAGACGTACCTGCTCGTTCTTCACAAGCTGTTACTCCAATTTTCCTTTTTTGATTCATGGTCGTTTGCATGATACTTCCCACAAACCTACTCGTCCCCAGCAGCTGAGCCGCCGATCGTCCGCAGATGTGCAGCGTTTGAGAAACTACGTTAAACATTTCAAGTGATCTGACCCAATCACCATGCCGTTCCACCGCCATCCTTCCCATCGTGGTAACTGAGTCACTGAATACAAGTGTCAGAGTGTGTTTCGCTCAGCCGTCCCACTCGGGTGCTGAGTGTGATCCCCGTCACAGGGGCGCCGTTTTTTGCATCGGAATTCAACAACCCCAACGTACCACTTTTCACTGGACCTTCACCGGAAGTCACGGCCACCCCCATAGAATCAACTGATGCATTGGCCGCCGGGCCCAAACACGGCAGCTTTCTCTTCCACCGGCTTTCTGATCAGTCTTGCACGTCGTTTTCTGCATGATCTCACATGTTGTACGTTCTGATTTGTGCCGTGACCTTTTCGTCAGCAGAACTCAAGCTTGCACACTGGAGTTCTCAACTCTAATTCGAGATGCATGACCACACCTGACAACAAGTTCACATATCACACCCAGCTCAGCTTCACAACACACTTCCTGTCAACACGAGCAATGCGACTTTCAACATCACCATGACAATACAATTTTGCAATTTCAGCTGCACCATTGCTGCTGCGCCGCGCCGTGCCATAGCGAAGCCTTTACTACACAGCGCTGCATTTCACCACCGACACGTTCGACTACGTCATGCATTTTCCCTGGCCATATGCTCATGCCACACCACCACCACTACCCACTACGCAGCCTCAGCCCACATTGCCGCTGCCGCAACCACAAACCGCACCCACCTTCCCATCACCACATCCATCGGCATTTCCTTATACACAACCACAACCCTATCAGGCTCCACCTACCATGCCTATTCCAACTCCTACTGCGCAGTCCTACGGCACTCCCTCAGCCTAGACGATTGCGCAACCATCTCAGCCGCCACCGCAACCCACACACCCAACCCCAGTGTTTCCATCTACAGCACCTCCCCCTTCTTACATGCTGCCACAATTACATCACACACCACCTACAGAACCTACCACCACTACGCAGATCCAGTCACCTCCAGCACCACAACAAGCAACAATAGCTCATCATCCACCCACAGACCCGCAGTGGACTATGCCCCAGGGAGTTTGGCAACCCTACTCAGCATTTCCCCCAGTCACACAACCTTCACCTCAACCTTTGCCTCCGCCGCCGCCTCCACTAGCCATCGGCGAATCACCACCAGCTAAACCCTCACTCCCACAACCGGCACCATCGGACCCTACAGCACCGGTCTCAAACGTCACCACGTCAGCCAAGGACCCTGCAGTACCGGTCCAAAACGTCACCACTTCAGCCACTGGCTCCCAACCATCCCCATCACCATCCATTGCATCAGCCCCACCAGCCACTGCACCTTCACTACCTGCAACGGACAAGCCCGACAGCACCGCTTCACCAGCACCGCCGCCACCTTCCCCACACCCACATCACAGCAGCCGCCGCCACCACCGCAAGAGCCGACGCAAGTCTGATCATCACCACCGTGGGCGTCACCACCACCGCCGCAGGCATCGACATCACCGCCACTCCAAGCATCACAGCACCACCCGGCGACGCCGCTCGCCCTCAACCTCCACTTACTCTTACAGCCCCACACCTTCCCGCAGCCGCTCCCCACAACCCATCGATTTGCGCCCCAACACCGACAACACCAACACCGACCCCTCTCAATACCCCACCACAGCAGTCCTTCGTCGCCCACTCAACCGCTGGCGACCTCCACCCAACTTCCAAGCTCTTTCACCTACAGACCAACTTCTTGAATGGTTCGAATTTCACGCCAACCAACTCGACACCCCCAACCGACCACAGCACCAGTACATCGCCAATCTCCTTACCGACTGCAACATCAACTATACAAGGAGATTACAGATTTCCGACAATACACCCACGCATGGAACGAAACCACTCGCCAATACGACCAATTCCAATACAACGCCATCTCACTTCCCTACCTCAACACCAAGGCCACCACACCCGAACCACCCGCGGTTTCCCGAGCCACTTCAACCCACCGGGAAGTCGCGCACATCAATGCCGGCCATACAGGCCCAGTCGGCAACATTGCCAACATTTTACGCCAAGGTCGGTTTCTACCCAGCACACTCCACTTTGCCAACTACCCTAGCTTTTTTGCCCCGGGCATCCGCATCACCCACAATCCACCCCACGACCAAAGCGAGTTCGCTTGCATCATCCACAACACTTGGCAACTCCACAAAAACACCCACTCAATCATCATCACACTCCTCGCCTGGGGAGCAGCCACCAAATACACTTCCGGTGGCGAAGAACAAGCCATGACCCTCCTCAGCGAGCACCACGGAGCCGTCTTCCACCAGAAGGGACGCTGCTGGGTGATTCACCCAGACCACGCCATCGTCAAAGGACTGGCCTGGTCCACCAACTCCACTCCACCTGACATGTAACACCACATTCCACCACCTCCAAGCAACTACCACCTCCACCTCCACTCTTTGTCTCACCCCACCACACAAACCTTCGCCCACAGCAGCGAAAAGACCTTTACAGCAGTCCCGCGGCCCTTCCGCGTTTTCAAGTGTTCAAGCTTTGGCGGTTTTGCTTTGCAGAATACTAATCCGAACCTTTTACGGGTTTTTCAGATGATGTCTTCAACCTATGAAGGTGTTTTTTGCCATTGATCTCTCAGTCGGACCTGCACTCTTTCTGACCATGCTCGCGTGAATTTTGTGCTCCATTAATTCATATGCATGGCCTCGTGATGACGTGCTGATGCCGCCCAGCTGCCGCCCAGCTACTTTGCCGCGCTGCAGCAGCAACCTGTGACGAACCGCTGTGACTATACATCCCTCTCCGCCCACATCATGAGCAGCACAGTGCCACCTCCACACCACGACACACAAACTCTTTTACATCAAACCACTGTGACCCTCTCGCAGGTCCAAAACCTGCTACGACAAGCAACTGACATCATAGCACACCTCCACACCCACTTTCTCCACCACATCCGCCAAGCGGATCCCACTTTCCGCCAACATTTTCAACCACTACCACCACCACCAATTCACCCTATACACCTCCTCCTGCGATTCAGCACCCTCCAGACCACCTATCCGCTTGCCACCACCACCCTCCAAAGACTCCGACGACACACCTTCACCTACCCCAACCCCAAAACCTGCTGCAACTCGCAAGCGAAAGCAGCCTCCACCACCACTACCTAACC